ATGGCTCATGAGCAGGGACACTGAGGCCGGAGCCTTGTCACCTGAGGTATCCTTGTTCTGTCTTTTGGATGCACAAAAGACACATGTATGGCACTGTGTTCCAAGAGGTACAGCACCATTCTCTTTGAATCATCTGTTCTGATAACAAAAGGCATTGCAGCCAAGCATGTTGACTGACATTCCATCGTGGAAGGAGGCATGAGGAGGGTCACTCTACCCTCACCTGAGGTTCCAGCTACTCCTCCCAGACACTTGAGGATAATCATGCCCAGATTGCATGTGGTCTTGGAGTCAATGGGGGAGGTAGAGAGGGCTCCAGTTATGGGGCAGTCATCCTCCATGCTGGATGAAGACATTCAGTATAGATGCATTGGGTCACTCCCATTCCTGCAACAGGTCCTCCACCCAGGCCCTGTAAGTAAGTCCAAAAGACACACTGTCTCCAGGATGGACTTCAAGGGAACCATATCTGGTTTTACTTTGGGACCATAGGTGAAGGGGGTACATGTTTCTGTCTCCCCGGAAGTAACTCTGACATTAATTCTCACATGCAACGGGACCCCCAGAGCCCATCTTATGCCCGGCATTCTTCTGTTCTGCCAGCCCTAGGATGAGCACGCCATGAGGTCCCTCCCCCCATATCCCAGGCCCAGTGATATCTCCCCACTTGAGCCCTCTGCTTTAGGGCCCTCCCTTACATGGCCCTGGGGCCCTCCTCCTGGGAACCATGTGACACTTCAACTTTCTTCTTTCTTAAAACAGTTACGTTTATTATTCTGTTTGTGGTGGGGAGGGAGGCATGTGTCCTCACACATGAAGGTCGGAGGAACACTCTGGAGTCAGTTCTCTCTTTCCACTTTTATGTGGAAACCTGGGAGTTAGTTCAGATCATTCCGCTTGCACGGAGCCATTTTGTAAGGCCCTGTTTATTTAATTTTAATATGCAGGGTGTATGCAAGTGTGTGTGTGTGTGTGTGTGTGTGTGTGTGTGTGTGTGTGTGCATGAGTGTGTATGTGCTCATGTATTATGATGAATAACTAATACGTAGCCAGTAATGGTCAGGATATCTTTAATAAGTAAATGCCAACCGACAGGAAACCAGAGCCAAAGCTGCAGGCAAAAGAGAGCCTTGGCTATCCCTTTAAACCTTTAATGTCACCTTGACATCACCTTGACCACATCCTGATGGGCGTGGTCAGACACACCTGTATCCAGCCCTTAAGAGGTGTGGTTACTGGTGTCTCCTTATACTCATGCAAGTGGAGGTCAGAGGTATTTTCCTCAGTCTCCCTCTACCTTATTTTTTAAGGCAGAGTCTTTCTCTCTCTCTAAACCTGGCACTCACTGATTCAGCTAGGCTGGCTCATGAGCTCTGCCTGTCTCTACCTTCCCTAGAGCTGGGGTCACAGATGTGCACCGCCATGCCTAGCTTTTATATGGTGGTTGATTGATGAGAGTTGCCTATAGGCTCATATGTTTGAATATTTGGTCCCCAGTAGGCTGAAGACTGGTACCATCACCAGTCTGTCTGTCTGTCTGTCTGTCTGTGTCTGTCTGTCTGTCTGTTTGTCTCTCTCTCTCTCTCTCTCTCTCTCTCTCTCTCTCTCTCTCTCTCTCTCTCTCTCCTTGATACTTGGGGATCAAGATGTGAGCACTCTGCTGCTCCAGGCTATACCTGCCTGCCTGCTGCCATATTCCCCATCATGATGGTGATGGACTAGAACCATAAGCCCAATTAGACCCTTTCTTTTATAAGTTGCCTTGGTCTTCACCACAACAACAGAGAAGTAACAAAACATGGGATAGAACTTGGGTCTTTGTGCTTCTGTAAAAAAGCACTTTACTGACTGGGATGTCTCCCCAAATCCCACACTTAGTCATTCAAATGCAATGGTTCCTTCAGCTCTGGGTCCATCACATCTACATGAAATTGAAAAGTCCTGGGCACATTCTAACCCCACACTGTCCTCAAAGCCTGCAGACCCAGTGTGTGCAGCACCTGCAGACCCAGTGTGTGCAGCTGATTTGAAGCAGAGGTCTAGGAAGCCCAACACTGCCCTGAGGCAGAGTGGTGGCCCAAAGCTAGTCCCTGAACCCAGGATAGACACCTAGTCAGTCCTAGGTTCTCCAAGAGACCATGGGGACAGCAGGGGTGGGTACATGCATGAAAACCACTATTTCTGAAGGCTCTACCATATGGTTTCCCATTGCAGCCTGAGACTCCAGCTGACAAGTGTCACTGATTAGACCCCATGTCCAGACAGGTGGCTCCACCAAGAACAGCAGGAAGGTCCCTAAACCTCACTCCCTGGGTTCCTGAAATGGGAGCTTCAGAGCAGGAGGACCTCAGCTCCCAACATTCTGGGCCCATGGTGGTCCTCTGCCTGTCCATTAAAGCCACCACCTCCTCCTCCAAAACCTCTCTGTGGGAAATGCCCTGGTGACACACAATAGCAATGGGACAGCTGTGGCTTCTTTCTGCCCCTCCCCTTTGTCTTTTTTTGAGACAGGACATCATGTAGCCCAGGCTGCCTCAGACTCACCAGTGTAGCCTAGAATGACTTTGAACTCCTAACCCTCCTGCTTCCACCTCCTAAGTGCTAGGATTGATTACAGCTGTGGGTCTCAGTGCTCAGCTCTTCATCTCCGGTGCCTACGGACCCCAGTCCAAACCTAGCCCTCACACTCTAGGATTGAGCCAGTCACTTCCCCCTTGAGGCAGGGTATGCTGCTTATTATCAGGGCAGGAGAGATGCCTGAATTGTGGCTAGCCATCACCGTTGTCTTAGTTGCTGTCTTAGGGTTTGTTTGTTTATCTGTTGCTGTGACAAAACGCTCTGACAAAGGCAACTAAAGAGAAAAGCTCTATTCTGCTCACAGCTCAAGGGTCCAGTTCACCATGACAGAAAAATGAAAGCAGTGGAAGCTTGAAGCAGCCAGTCAAATCCCATCCACAATCAGGAAGCAGAGAGCGATGATCACAGGCTGCCACTCAGCTCCCTCTCTCCACTTACACAGTGCAGGACCCCAGCCAGGGGATGGTGCCGCTCATAGTGGGCAGTCTTCACACCTCGATAAAATCAAGATGCTCCCCACAGGAATGTTTCTGGAGGCCTGTAGGCAGTAGGACCTCTGACCTCTGCTCCTCCTGCAGCTCCTGAGTCACCCCACCTCCCAGCTCCAGCTCTCACTCCCAGCTCGCTGCTGTCTGTGGTCCTAGCTCCAGCAAGCCCTGTGGCCAAGCTTGGTGAGAAGCAATGGATGGATGTGGGAGACACAGGGCACCTGGGAAACCAGAGTGCTGCGGAGCTCAGCCTGCTTACGCCATGGGCCAGTTGAGTCAGGCGCCCCCTGCTGTTTACCCACAGAACTGTGACATCCCCTCTGCTAGATTCTGTGGGTCAAGAGCTCAGACCCCATGGGGAGGAGAGCAGGAAGAGCAGGCCTCACCTCCATATTGTATGTATGTATGTATGTATGTATGTATGTATGTATGTATGTATGTGCAGGGCGCCTTGGATATGCCAAACAAGCTCTCTACCCATGAGCTATGCCCCCAAACCCTCCTTTTGTTTCTTATTTTAAGACAGGTTTTCACTACACTACCTGGATAGGCCTTGAATTTTCAAGCTTCTGCCTCGGTCTCCCAAGAAGACAGGCCTATACCACCAGGTCAGAAATACCAGCTTCACTCAAGGAGGGCACTACATGTGGGCTCTACAGCTTCACTCAAGGAGGGTACTACATGTGGGCTCTGCACCTTCCAGACTACCTCCCCTCAGTTCATTCATTCATTCATTCATTCACTCATTCATTCATCCTCACTTGAACACTCCCATTGTCCTTACATTTTAAGAGGTCCTAGGACACAAAGGTGACCTGGCTGTCGGATCAGTCAGCCAAAATGTGGCCTGAATTCCAAGGAGTAAGCCTTCATCTGATGGATGTTTCCATCTGCCATCCCCCTTTCCCTATAGGATTTAAACCAACATGCTAGAAAATACCTAAGCCATGAGGCTGTGAATTTCAACCAACAATGGGGAAAAAACTAAAGCCCAAAAGAAAAGCATTTCTTGAGCACCTACTATGTTCCAAGAGTCCCACACTGTGTTTTCTATGTTCCCATGATTGAGGGCAAAGTGAGCCTCAGTGCAAATGCAGGACTAGCCCAAAGTCACATGCATCCCACAACTGAATCCAGCCCCAAAGTCACACGGAATAACTGAACAGATTGGAGGCTGAGTTTCCCAGAAGCCTGAGGAGAAAGGAAAATTAGACTCTTCATGAGATGGGGGCATGCTTCTTTGAAGGGAGGAAGCCCTGCCCATCACTGAATGAATTTGTCTTTCCCCTGGTGAGAATTAATGAATAAGAATTCAGAGAGGACCCTAGAAGCAGAAAGTCCTTTGGCTTGGATATAAGGAGGTTTCTGGGGAAAGGCCTACACAACCCCAGAGAAGGTCTGTTCTTAGTACCTTCTTCCTCTGTGGCTGAATGTGCCTGTGTGTGTGTGTGTGTGTGTGTGTGTGTGTATGTGTGTTTGTGTGTATGCTTGTGTATGTACATGTATGCATTTGTGTATACATGTGTGTGCATGTGTATATGCGTGTGCACGTGTTGTATGCTTGTGTATGTGAATGTATGCATATGTGTGTGCATGTGTATATTGTGCATGCATGTGTGTGTGCATTTGTGAATGTGTGTGTCTTTCTTTATCAGATCCCCCCTCATCCCCAGGGCTGTCTTTCTTCATTTCCCCACCCTCCTAATACTCTTTTGCCAGGGTCCCGGCTAGCTGGTGAAATGCAACTGTCTTTAGGAAGTGTGTGCTGTGTCAGGAGCCTGCGCACAGACCCCTGTGGCCAGGGCTGGCTTCCTCCCACAGGGTCTGGGCGGGGCGGGCAGGAAGGTGTGGTGACTAACCCTGTCAGCCACCCACCAGAGCAGCAGCTGAGCTAGCAAGACCAACAGCAGGACCACCTTCCCCCAGGGCTTCAGAATGGACCTGTGTCACCCAGGTAAGTGAGCAGGGTCCAGCCATGGCCTCGGCATTTCCTCCTGCAGAACAGAGAAGCAGTGGTAGCCTTGCGGGGAGGACCCTGGAGGGCACAGAAGTAAAACTGGTTTTAACCAGTCCCAAACATCAGACTCTGTGTGCAGAGGCAGGCACCAGGCTGGGCTGCTGGTCCCAAGGTCCCACGGGGATCCGAGTGTTCCCTGACCTCCTGGGTCAGCTACGGGATGGATGGTGATGTAACAAGTGGGTGAAGAACAAGACAGGTGGACATAGACTAGGGAAGAAGGTATTGGGAGACCTCAAGGGGGCACAGCTTGAGCCCAGAGAGGATTCTTGGGAGTTCTGAGCCAGAGTATTCAAGCAGAGGCAAGAGCCTTGGCAAAGGCCCAGAGGTAGCTACAAGGGACAACTTCTGATGAAGGGTGACACGCATCTGGATGATACAGGGCACTACAGCACTTTTTCTACTCTTGGGTCTGGTGGTCTTTGATGGAGGTTGGGGACACTGCCTGAAGGAGTAACATGTCCAGTGAGGCCCTGATGCAGTAGGCCGGTGGTGGATCTGAGGGACAGAAAAGAAGGAGGCTGGCAAGTTGATGCAGGAGGGACAAGCTAGTGTGGTTCTCAAGGTGATGCAGTAGGCCGGTGGTGGATCTGAGGGACAGAAAAGAAGGAGGCTGACAAGTTGATGCAGGAGGGACAAGCTAGTGTGGTAGAGAGCAGGGCTATGGAAGGAGCCAGGTCCCTGTACCCTGAGCCTCAGAAAGTTCCCCTGGAGCTCTAGGCTCTGAGGGACAGCAGCAGCTATCTGAATCTCCTGGTCTATGTGACTCTGAACCAGTTCAGACTGATGCCTTTCTCTAAATGAAACCTAACCCTGAGCAGCCTGGCCCCACCCACAGGCAGGGCATCCACAGAAGCTATGCCTACTGCTCTGGATCCCAGAAACACAGAAACCCATCAGGATCTTTCAACAGCCGTTCATTGATGGACGGGACACAGGAGGTTGTGAGGGGATATGATGTAAGTGGAGGCTGTGGCTCTGGCCACCTAGTCTCTCTGAGGTTCTGTGGGGGAGGGGATGGTGAATTCAGTCTTTCAGAGACTGAGTGACTAGGCTGAGGCTGGGGGGGGGGTTGTGGAGAAGGCAAAGGAAGACCAGGTGACAGGCAAGCTCCACCCCAGGTCACTTGGGTCACTCAGAGGCACAAGGCAAAGACAGAGTCCTTTACTCATTGGGTCCTCACAGTATAGGGTTACAGGACAGTCCACACTTGGTACAAATAAGGAACCTGAGGCTCTCAGAGGGGGTTAAGGGTGAGAGGACTGGCTAGGCTCGGGTCATAAAGCCAATAAACAACCCAGCAAGAAGAGCCTAAAAGAAGGGCCCATATTAGGCAAGGGCTGCAGAAGGCTGGGATGCACTCCAGGCCAACCTAGGATAGCTGGATGGACAAGGGCCAATCTGTGGAAGATTTGGGGTCTCCATGGACTGGTTTGTCTTTCTGTTGGTTCATTGATTCATTCATTTTACAAACATCCCTGTAATGTGCTTCAAAATGCAAGGACTGAATGGGAGCTGACATTCCAGGGTGTTGGCTAAAGGGAAAGGGGGACCCTGATCCACACCTGACCACAACCACCTCTGGCACAAACGGGGAGAGGGGGAGAAGGAGCTTGGGACTTCCTGGAGGAGGCAGCTGGGGAGGGGGAGATCACTATGTCACCCAGAGCAGGTCCCACAGAAGTCCATGGTGGCAGGGGACCTCCCTCAGGTGCATTGTCTGTGAACAGCTGGCCCTCTGTCCTCCTGGCCTGCCTCTGAGCATGTGGGAATCTGCCCAGCAAGCACCAGGGCTGGGCCTCTTCCTTCAGCAGGCCTCAGTTTCCTTGTGATATTTATGGATGGGGATGGTGACAAAGACTCTCCCAAGCTGCCCCATCCCACCCCCACTCCTGCCACTGTAATGTGGGTCAGGCCCCTCCGAGGGTGATCCCTGAGCACAAGAAAACCCTGCCTGATGAAGGCCAGCGGTGGACAGAGTGAGGGCAGAGTGAAACTAGAGGTTTCTGGCAGGGATCAGCAGCTGCACCAGTACCCTCCACTTGATACCCCTTCTACCTAATGCCCCTCAGCAGCACCCTCCCCGTCTGCCCCGTGGTACTCCCTACACCGAGAAAGGGGAAGTGGAGCCAGCTGTCCTGGAAGCCAGGCTGCAGGCACTAAAAATAAGACGGGAAAGAGGAAGGGCAAGGGGGAAGTAGTGAGGGGCAGGGGTGGTGGCTTCAGGGCAGTGGGCAGTGGGCACTCACTGGCCTGAGACAGGAGCACAGAAGGCGGAGCAGGCAAGGGTGAAGAGTGACAGAAGGCTGAGAAGCACAGAAGGTAGAGCGAGCGGGCAGGGGTGAAGGGTGATGGGAGAGTGAGAAGAACAGAAGGCAGTGCTGGATGGGGCGAAGGGTGGCGGGAGGCTGGGAGCACACAAAGCAGAGCAGGGGCGAAGGGTGGGCGGGAGGCTAAGGGGCACTATGAGAGCATGGGATGCTCATGCCATGGTGGTATGTGCATATGTTTCCAGTGCTTGGACTGCTTCAAAACAGCCTCTCCCTGGACCCTTACCAATACCCGGAACCCACCCTTGGTGGGTCACATCAGAGTGGCCCCCGTCTAGCAGTGTCTACACTGCCCTCTGATCTCAGTTCCTTGGCTCCAGAATGGTGAAAAACCTCCGCTTTTTGATAAGCAGTCAGAGGGTCCTTGTGGGCCACATGACCTGTGTTAGGGCAGCAGGCCAGAAATCACGGCCTGCTGTCTCGTGAGTTCATAGTACTTGGACAGCTGAAACCCACTAGAGACGGGGCTTGGACAGAAGGGGAGTTTCCTCAGAGGGTTCGTGAAGACTTTGCCACCACAGAGCCTGAGAAGAGCTGAGAGGGGAAGGTTCAGGCCACACCTCACTTCCCCTGCACTGTCCACTCCACTAGGAATCCCATTTTCTTGTATCTGTTTCCAATCACTCTGTGCCTCAGTTTCTCCAGATGTCCATTGATTTGGAGGGTCAAAGGAGGTCCTGCTGCGGGCACCTTCCTGCATCTTCATCATTTCACAGTGTTGTGGTTGGCACAGGGTCAGAACACCCAGGCCTGTGGGTTCCATGGGATTACAGAAGGGTTGTTGGCTCTGGCGCCAGGTGGATGGAGTGTGAGTCCCAGCTCCACCACCATCCAGCTGTGCTGGCTGAGGGAGGTCACTGAACCTCTCTGAACTCCAAGAGTATCACATATAGGAGGAAGTTAGAAATCCCTTCTTCAGAGCAGTGGGAGTTGAGAGATAGAAGGAGAAGTGCACACAGTGGATTCTCAGTTGAGGAGGAGGCATTGGGAGCACTCAGGGCTGGCACACGAAGGGAGGCAGGGTGGCATTGGAAAGCCCAGCTTCTACCTTGGTAGTCGGATGACAGTAGGGGTCGTGGAAATGGAACATTGACAGGACCTGGTGACTGGGGGAGCTCAAGGGCTAGAAGGAGGGGACATCAAGGTGCTTGGGGCTGAGGTGCACTCCTAGAGCTCAGAAAGAGGTTGAGTGGAGGGGAATTCTGAGTTGTTTGGGACCCAGATGGGGCTTGCTGCTAGCCAGTCTGGATTTGGTGAGGGACACTGTCTCAAGGAAGGAAGACAGAAAGTGATTGAAGAATATGCACGGTGTCAACCTCTGGCCTCTACACAGGTGAAAACACATGCCCATACACACACACACACACACACACACACACACACACACACACACACACACACCTGCCTCACCTGGGCAGAGCCTTGTGTCCATAACCATGCTGGAATCCCACACTGTCTCTTCCCAGTTGTGTGACCTGGGATATGTCACCTCACCTTCTTGAGTCCCTGTGTCTTAAGCTGAAAATTAACCCTTATAAAAAAAATTCACAAGGACTAAATGACTTGATTTCCTTGGATGTTTGGGAGCTTGGACTTCAATGAGACTTGAATCACACTCCTTTCTGTCCCACCTTGAACAAGACCTCTAGCCTTGCAGGGACCAAAGAAAGTCCCATGGAGCCATCAGGACAGCAGTTCTGCTAAAGCAGTTCTGCGACCAGCTGCATGTATAATGGGGGAGGGGCAACAAGTGTCCTGGAGGGGCCATCCAAGTCAGGAAGGAGCCTTCTCCACTGTGCTGCCATAAGGTTGCTCCATTCTCCAGCAGGCCTTGGTAGAGGCAAGTGTGGAGACAAGCAGTTCCTACTGCACACAGCCTTTGCTGGCAAAGAGGCTCTTTGGTTTCCCATGGCCCCATGGTTTGTGAAAGCCCCTGGGTAAAGGATTGGAGCTACCCTTGTCTACCTGAACCTCCGTGGACTCCAGCCAACATGAATAGCTGGGCCAGGATGGGGGTCAGTGGTCGAAAATTTGTCTGACATGTTCAAAGCCTTTCGTTCTATTCTTAGCAATACAAAAATAAAAATAAAAATAAAGCACTGGCAAGTCTTTGCTAAAGCAAATGTTCAAATTCATGAACCTTCCAGAGAAACCGTGGCTCGGTGCCAGTGTCTGAGGTTGGCTGGCTGGACATTGATGGGTGGTAGTCAAGGGACTCAGGAAGGAGTCCAGCTTCTAGCAATGCCATGTGGCTACTTCCCTCACTGGGCCACAGCCAAGATGCCCTAGTAGGAGGCAGGCGAGTCAGCTGACCAGGTCATTAGTGGTGGTGTGTTTTCGTGCCTTCTTGCATACCTGCCTGCTGGTGACTCCTGAAACTCTGTGCCCACCCTCCTCCAAAAATCCACCCATGTCTCCTCCCAATCGGTGCCCCCCATCTTTCCACTGTCCTCTCTCTTGGCCTTAGCCTTGGCCTCAGCTGCTTCCAGGAACTCAGGGGCACCCTCTCTTCCTGAACCACAGGAAGTGGTAAGCCAGGTCTTCACCGTGGTCTTTCTGGGAAGGCCTGAAGTTCCTCAGCTGCCCACATTGCACATTGCTGACCATACTCTGATGTTTGCTTTTGCTTTTCCTTTTTTCTGTTTCTTTTCTTTTTTTTTTTTTTTTTTTTTTTTTTTTTTTTTTTGAGACTGAGTCTCACCCTGTAACTCAGGCTGGACTCGAACTTGTAATCCTCCTGATTCAACTTCCTAAATGCTACAATTACAGGTGTGAGCTTCCATGCTGGCTCTGAGGCAGTTCTGACTAGAGTGTAGTGGGTGAAATGAGTGAGCATTGTCCTAGTCGGGAAGTCAAAGTCACACTAGCTCCAACAACATGGACCTCACTTTGTTTCGGGAGCTGTTGGAAGGGATGGCACAAGATTGGAGCCTGTCCAATCCAGGGTCCCAGCCGGTTTAGTAGCTTCACCCCTGTGCAACCTTAGCCAGTTTACTTCTCTTTTCTGAGCCACAGTGTTTGAGAGCAGGGACTAATTGCCCCCCCTCCCATTCTGTTTCCCCTTCTTACAAAGTCAGGACAACAGGATAATCTTAGTAAAGCTCATTTGCCAGCCTCCCTTGCAGTTAGGTGTGTCCAGGTGACCCCACAATGGCTACAGACTCTCTCTTAAAGGGAATGAAAAGAATTAATGGAGAAGTGGGGCTACTCTGGACAGGGATATCTAAGAATGCCTCTCAATGGTGGTAGCACTCAGTCAGGCCCCAGTGGTAACAGCAAGTTACAACTAGTTCCAGCACCGTGGCCCTCACTTTGTTTCAGGGGTCTCCCCAAGAAGAGCCCTGAAATACAGAATCAAGCAATCATCTCCTTTCTCTCTCCAGATCTAGCTGAGCTCAGCAGTGGGGAGGCCAAGGAGCTACAACAGATCAAATGGCATCGGAAGCAACTACTGGAGGACATCCAGGTGTGTGTACACATGCTCACACTCCTAGACCCACATACACACACTTACTGGTCTCATACATGTTCACACTCAGACCCACATATTCACACTCATAGACCCATACATGTTCACACACACACACACACACACATTTACAAACCCACACATGCTTATACTCACTGACCTACACATACTCACAATAATCACTAAACCACACACACATGCACACACACCCACACCCACACACGCACACACCTACACGCACACACACCCCCCCACACACACACGCACGCACACACCCACACACACACATACTCACAATAATCACTAAACCACACACACATGCACACACACCCACACGCACACACCCACACCCATACACGCACACACCTACACGCACACACACACCCCCACACACATGCACACACATGCACACACATGCACACACACGCACACACACACACACACACACACACACAGAGCACTACACTATCATAGCTCCCACTATCTAGCCAAATGCTCAGAATGTCAGCCAACCTTGTCTTCTCCCCAAAGGCCCAGGTACAAGCCCCTCCTACCCAGGCACCAGCCCCTTGTTCAGCAGTCCCATACCACTGACTCCTTTCAATCCCAACCCCACGTCCCAGAGTCGCTCACCTTAGCTCCAGACCCCAGCCTTACTCCCATCTCAGATATAGAAAGTGGGCTGAAACTGCCAGGGACCGAGCAGCCAAGCCCAGAGCAGTCCAGGCACAAGCCCTCGCCTCCTCCCTAATGTACCCTTTGGACAAGGCCACACTAACCCTGGGCTCAGCGCTTGGGTGTTCACCAATTACTGAGATGATCACTACCATGATTGTTAGTGACCTTCAGATTCCTCGATCGTGCCTTGCTCAATCCGGCCTTTGCCTACATTCTTGTCTCCACCTGGGGGGGCTCCTCCCTGTTCTCACATTCCTGCTCCCTCTTCCCAAACCAGGTTAGAACCTACCTCCTCCTCCAGGCTGCCTGCCACCTAGACACACATGCACACTTGATCCCACTCTGCTAGGATTCTATTGAGCACACATGTGTCAGGCTCTTTCTCTGCCATTGCTGTGGTCACTTGCTGCATGGTTACTTTCTTAGCCCCAGAGCCACCCACCCATGATCCCAACATACCCAAACTCGAACTTTATGAAAACAGAGGCTGGGCCTTGCTCACCATTGGACCCCAGCCCCACAGCTAGAGCATATAAGTGCTCAGTCAGCACTGGTAAGGTGTCCCCATTATACATACCTATGGGTGAAAGCCCAGCCAAGATCCCTGGGAACAGGATCTGTATGACCTCGGAGCAAGGGATACTGTACCAGTTCTGATTTCCAGAAACACCCCAGGAGTACCACATCCCAGCACCCCTCATCTTGGGGAGAGGGTGGGTGCCTCTTGGGTCATTTGTTCTGTTCATCTGCTCCTGCAAGGGGTACCAGGATATCTTCCCCCGCCCCTAGCAGTAGGGCAAATGTGGGTGGTGGTCAAGCTGGGGATCTCCTTTGCACAGAGCAATCCCTGGGGTCAGGCTAAGGCAGGCTGGGGTGGAGTAGAGAGCAGCACAGGCCTGAAATTGGGACTGTAGACATGTGAATGCCTTGTCGGCCATGGCTGTTTCCTCTTCCCTCTGTTCCACTGAACTGCATAGCTTCTGGGAGGCCTGTGCTGCTCAGGTACCCTAGGATACCTGGCATGTGACAGGCACTTACTGAAAAGTGACAGAGAAGATGTGATGCCAGACAGGAGGTGTGGTCTGTTCCCTAGGTGGCCAGAGAGAGCCACAGGGGGATTCTGAATGGAGAGCAGTTCCCAAGTTGCCAGCCATGTCTAGTGAGGGCTTGGTGGACAGAGGGCAGTGGCTGACTGCATGGGAAGAGAGAGCAAGCTGGGAATAGGGTCAGGTGTGGGTATAGTGACTCCCACCCCTGAGGCGAGGGCGAGTGGAGGAACAAGGGTACACAGAGGCACTGAGCTCCTGCTCTGAGGGTAAAAGGGCATAGGAGGGAAAGGCTGTGAGAAGGCTGAGGGAAGGCACAGTGAGAGGCCCGAACCACAGGCAGAATGGGAGCTGTGGGGACATCCTGACCTCCAGGCCGACCCTTGTATGTGTGTCCACAGAAGCTAAAGGATGAAATTGCAGATGTGTTTGCCCAAATCGACTGCTTCGAGAGTACTGAGGAGAGGTGAGGAGCCCAGACAGTGGGAGGACCATCCCTGAGTACATCTCACTCCCCGTGTGCCATGGATGGGGGTAGGACCCAAGGAGATGCCACAGCTCCATTCAGACTGTCTGGACCACTCCCCACAAACTCTCAAGGGACCCTTATCCTCCCCCTCTCCATCCCACCTCCCCACACAACCGCCCCACATATTATTTATCAGGAACAGCTGGAAGCAGATGAGCAAAGAAATGTCCCCTGGGCAAGGGTGAAGAAACTCTGGTAAATGGGAACCAGAAGCCTGGCCTGGAGTAGGCCCCACTGGTCCACCTCATCCCACATCCATCATTGGTCACACAGGAAGGCTCCTGCTGGTTCTTTGTCCTAGGAAGGGGCCTTCTCTCTGGGCCTCAGTTTCCCCATTTGTATAAAAAGAAGGTCAGGTTTTCACATAATCTCCCAGATTACAACCTCTTGACACTGTAAAACTAACAAAATGACATTTCAGCTACAAACTGGAAAACAACCTCAATGTTTTCAGTAAGTTTACCTTTGAGTAGGTAGTGTTCATTGTTCTCTTGGGCCAAATGCAGCCATGTGTGCCCAGTAGGCTGGTCATGCCTGTCTGAACTCTAGGGCACTGAACTATAGAACTACACATGGTTACCTGCCCCACCTCCAAGACTTCTGCCTCTCCAGCATCTCATGCACACACACAGCCATGTATGCCCTGGGTGAGGGCAGCAGGCAGTTCTTGCACAGAAGGAAACAGAGGGATAAAGGGACTCACCTCTAGTGGCCTGGCCCAAGAGTATAGCAAGACTTAAGCTCAGGAGCAGCCTCTGGGGTGCATGTTCCTGCTGGCCCCATCATGCCCCAGCCTTCTGCATCCTCCCCAATGAGCTCTGCTGGGCTCCTGGGGGGCTCAGAGTTCAGTGCTCAGCTTGCAGCCCCGCCCCTCGACACCTCCCATCCTGTTCTTGCTCTCCCAGGTGGTCCAGACACAGGGGATACTCTTGGAGTTTCTCTCCTGAGGAAGGGCCCCTGAGGGATTATGGGGACAGTGGCATCTAGAGCCACCATTTTGATCTCCCCCTGTTCACAGCCGGATGGCACAGAAAGAGAAGGAGATGTGTATCGGGAGGAAGAAATTCAACATGGACCCTGCCAAGGTACACATCCAGGGGAGGGGACATGGATCCCACCAAAGTGGGCATCCGGGTGGCCACAGGAGGGTGATGTAGGCCTCACCAAGGTGCAAAGCTGAGCTAAGGGAGGAGGCTGCCTTCTGGGTACCTTTGCAGCTGATTCCACAAGCCAGCAGAGGTGAAAGCTGAGACCCCTCAGTGCCAAGCCTTTGGTCCCCAGCTGGGGCGAGCTTCTGTCCACTCCACAGCACTGCATCCCAAAGATGGGAGGCATGAAGTCCCCCCACTTGGACCCATTCCCTTTCTTCCCTGGCCCTAAGCCCTCCTCTGGAACAGGGTTCCCCCCACTTGGACCCATTCCCTTTCTTCCCTGGCCCTAAGCCCTCCTCTTCACAGGGTGAAGGCAGTGAGGCCCTTAGGTGGTGAACTCTGTCCCTAGCATGTCTTCCAAGTTCAGGCTGCAGAAACCATTTGAAGCTTGGTTGCCCATGACCTCAGAGTCAGCCTGCAGCCCTTCACTCTGCCAGGTGGCCATGGTTTCCCTCTCCAGTAGGGGCAGGCAACAAAAGGCATACACTGTACTAGGGCAAGGGTCCAGACAGACACAGCTGAGACTGCCTCAGCACATGGATTCCCTTGTCACAGCCACAGGCCCTGGACCACCGCTCCACTTACCTGGCCTCATACAAACGTACACCTATGTTCCCAGCTCTGGCCACAGGGTGCACAGCATCCCAGTCCTTCCATCTAAGAGCAGCAGGGACACAAGATGTCAGAACACCAGAGACCAGTCCATGACCTCCAAAATCTTAGGGGTGACTTTTTGTGCCTGGGCAGCAATGAGAGGGGCTCAGGAGCCTATCTGGCAAAGCTGGCTTCAAGGTGAAAGGAGGCTGGGCATGTCCTCCCATCTCCCACAGAAGGAGAGAGAAGGTCATTGCCATGGAAGCTGGCTACCTCCCAGGTGGGGTCTGTACAGTCTCCTCCTCTTTTGATTTAGCTGGTCTGTGTGACTTTTACACAATGGGCACAGATTGCTGGTGTGATGAAATGAAACTATTTGAAATAATAAGAGTTTGGAGAGAACAAAAGGAGATGCTGAATCACTGAGTCTTAGCACTGTGACTCCCAGCAGCCACGGGAGGGTGTAGTCTAGGCATGTCAGGCTGGGGAGACCTGGCATGACTATACTTCACTTAGCTCTCTTAACATACCTCCAGAGATTCGGAGTTCACCACCTCCCAAAGGCAGCTGGAGGGCACTGTCCCAGAAAAGCCCGTGTGAAGTCCAAACAACAGGCCCCCCTCCTTCTCCCCTCCTCCACCAGTGGCCTATGCTATAGGGGCTATACATGGGCTCTGTGTCACCTCCAGGGCATCCAGTATCTCATTGAACACAAGCTGCTGACCTCCGATGTCCAGGACATCGCCCAGTTCCTGTACAAGGGCGACGGCCTCAACAAGACAGCCATTGGCACCTACTTGGGGGAAAAGTAAGAGGACCCCAGACAGGGAGCAGGAAGTGGGGGTGTGGGGTGCTTGGAAAGCCCTCATGCTTAGGGCTTGAGATGAGCACTAACTCCCAGGCTGGCATATTCATCCATTCATTCAATATGCTGCTTGTGTCTACTGCGCTCTGAGCTCTATTCTGAATGCTAACTGTAGAAGACAAGATGGCCAAACTCCTGTCTTCAGGGATGGGTGCTTTCTGCATGGGAGAGGGACAGAAATGAGCTCTGTCGGGTACACAGGAAGCAGAAAGGAGGCCAAAGAGTGAAGGGCTCTGAGCTGGAGCTCCTGTTTCAGCCCATGTGGTGGTGGGAGTACTTCACACTGAAGGATTCCAGGTGATGAGAACAGTCAATGCAAAGGCCCTCCGGCAGAAGCAGCTAGGCTCACAGCAGGTTGAAGAGAAAGAAGGATCGTGAGGGAGGGAGGAAGGGGATGAGGCAGGGGGATCCACAGAGGCTCTAGGCAGGAGTGTCTGACTGGTAGAAGAGATGGGCCATTGAGGAGGAGGCTCAGGGAGTCTCCAGCCCTTCTCCCACACATTCTGAGTGAGATCGCTCACAGGTTCCTGACCTGAGAGCTTGGGAGAGGGAGGAAGCAGAGAGCCCTGCTTCTGTGGCTGATGAGGAAACTGAGGTATGGGATGTTCAGGGGCTTGAGTAGGGCCACCAGGCAGGAAGTGACCAAGGGAGAACTTGACTCGGGGGCCCAAAAGGTCCAAACCCAGAGCTTACTTCCCAAGTATGTGTGTCTGTGTATGTGTGTGTGCACACGTGTGTGTGCACATGTGTACCAGTTGTCAAGTGTTCCCCTTCTCCTGTCCCTCTCCAGGGACCCCATCAACTTGCAGGTCCTACAGGCCTTCGTGGACTGCCACGAGTTTGCCAACCTCAACCTTGTTCAGGCCCTCAGGTGAGTGGTCCAGGCAGGAGATGTGGTGGGGGTGGTGGGAGAATCCAACCCAGGGCTGCATGCAGAGGAGGAGGCTTGAGTTGGGGGAGCACAGCCCTGAGTAGCTGAGGCAGGACAATCTCAGGCTGAGAATCCTGCAGCTGCCTCTCATTGCTGTGCCACCATTATTGAGACTGAGATATTTGCAGCCACCCTTCCTCTGGGCCATCTGGGGGCTCCAGTGCTGTACTCTAGCACATTCTAGACTAGCACGCGTGTACTTTATCCCCACATCCGGCTCCGCGTGGAACATGGTTGCTATGGCTTATGACTGCCTGATTCCAGTATTTGTTGCTATTTGTGTTTTCACTTCCATGGGCACAGTGTGGTGCCCGAGTCAGCAGAACATGTCCCCAGACCACAGAGTCCTCTCCAAACCCCAGCTTTGCCATTTATTCCCCATGTGATCCAGAGCAAGGTACAAATAAGAAACTTCACAGCTGGGCTTTGTGCTTCACACTAAAGTGGGAAATTACCAATACGAAATCAGGTAGAAATACAAGGGTATTTAATAGGGAAAGGCCTTACTTACAGAGCGACCTAGCCAGCTACCAGCAGTCTTTACAGCAAGCTGAAAGTGAAACTGAAAGCCCTTGCAGGTGTGGTCAGAAAACCCTGTAGCCAGCCCCTAAGTAGGCATGGCTACAGCTTCCCCTACATCACACCTGTAATAATGGCACTTGGAAGTCTGAGGCAGGAAGATTGCTGTGAGCTCCAGGCCAGCTTGGGCTACATAGTGGGTTCCAGGCTAACCTGGGATACCCTCTGTTTAGATTAAAGTCTCTTTATTCAAGAAGACACCAAGGCAAAATACAGGCCAGAGCTAGGTTATAGAACCCAGCAAGCACGGCCAGAACAAAAAGGGCCAGGGTCCCCACTTAAGAAGCTCCCTTACGTTACCCCGGCTTTCCTTCACCACGCCCTTATGGGCGAGTCCCGGGTCCACCTGGTACCTGTCCCAGGACTATTGGGCGGGGCTAGGGTGTCTCCCTACAACCCTCTCTTAAAATAAAAAAAAAAAAGAAGAGGAAACAGAAAAGGAAAGGAAGGAAGGTTGCCTGAGCCAAGTCAGCACCAAACCATAGGGCAGAAGGACTAAATGAGGAAGGACTTGTAACCAGCCAGAGCTAGTCACTTCCATGTGTCAGCTCTAACTCTTAGTAAAACTTCATGTCACCTAGGGAATCAAAGCTGCTGCTGGGAAGGCCTGGAAATCTGCTCCCAAGAGAGGCATTTTATCTGGGCTTTGCAGGATGAGTAGGAGTTTGCAAGGCAGAGAAGGATGAGGTCACTACCATCCATCCAAGGAGTATGAACTTCTGGAGGAAGAACTTAGGAATCACTTGTCTCATTCACTCATTCATTGATTCATTCATTCATTTGATAAGCTTTTACTGAGCAGGTTTTAAGGGACCTGTGGAGACAAGAAAGCTTAGCTGACACCAAGTCACAAGCTTCCAGAACTGGGTGTAAGCTTGAGTCCCTAGCCAGGCCCATCCAGGAGAAGCACTGCCCAGGGTCCCACAGCCAGAGCCTGTTGCCCCACACCGAATCTCTGTAAGAAGTGTGACTCTGCCTTGTCCTGTGCTGTTGGCACCTTCACATCTGAACCCAACCACCCATGTTGGGGCTTGGAGGAAGTCACAGTTCCCATTCATGGGGACACTGAGAGCCCCACCTGCTTTACTGACCATTGCCCTGTCCCCCTAGGCAGTTTCTGTGGAGCTTCCGGCTGCCTGGCGAGGCCCAAAAGATTGACCGCATGATGGAGGCCTTCGCTGCTCGCTACTGCCTCTGTAACCCAGATGTCTTCCGGTCTACAGGTGACAAGCCCCTCATATTCCCCAAGTACTTCAAGTGTTCAGGTCTCTACTGAACCCTCACTGAGCACTGACTCCATGCCTGTCTGGAGCGTGGTCCTAGGGAGAGGGGCCAGGGAAAGATAGGGAGTGTGGAGTACAGGAAGGCTTCTCAGAGGAAGCATGGTCTGGGTGAGGTTTTAAAGGATAACTAGGAGTTCTCTAGGAAGCTATAAGGGAAAATGCTTTAAATATCTCAAATGAATCCTTGGAAGGGCAGATAAGGGGCAAAGGGCACAGCAGATGACCAACAGCCTCAGTCACTCATGCCTCCATCTCCAAGATAACCACAGGATGAAGAAGGGGCCACGACAGCCAACTGGCCATGGCCTCTTCTTTTGGCTCTAAAGTTACCACACAGCAATAGCCAACTTTGTGAGGGGTTTTTCCGTGTTCCCAGTGCTTATACACATATGCATGGAGCCTTTGGACCCTCTTTCCAGGGTCATCAAGTCTCAACGTCACTCTCTAAGCTCAGCAGCAGATTGTCCCTAGTGAAGCAAGAGCCAGAATCAGAGAGAAAGCCACTTGTCCCAGGGCAGACTGCTCCCTCCCTGCTGTGTGGAGGACTAAAGCCCCTGGAGCTTCTGCCACACTTGGCCATGACCTAAAAGCTGGCATTTGCTTGCCTCCAGGATTCACACACCTAACCCCTGATGAGGGCAGGGCATCAGTTCCCCTTGGTCACCTGTGACTTCCAGGCGTGGTAGCATGCATCTATAATATCAGCACTAGGGAGGCTGAGGCAGGAGGATTACTGCCAATTCCAGGCCAGCCTGGGTTTCAAGTGAGACCCTGTGTCAGTCAATCCAGTCAATCAGGCTAGGTAGAATGAAAGGCATTTTAATCAACCAATCCATTTGTCACTGTGTGACCCAGAAGCATGTGACTCTACCTCTTTGTGCCTCAGTGTCTCATCTTTAAGATGGAGGTGTAGCCGTACCTGTCAAACAGGATAGGCCTGGGGATGCTGAGCACAGGTGGGGGCCACTGCTGTGGGAGGGAGAATCACTCATGTGGGCAGGCTGAAGGTCAAGTGTTTGGAACTGCCTCTCTCAGGTTCTGGATCCTCAGAAAACCCAGAACAGCAGCCACACCCCCAAGCCTGCGCATAGGAATCTGCACAGTGCAGGCTGCTGGCAGCACGACCCACCAGGCAGCTTAGAACAAGCTACTAACTAACAGGGCAGCTAACAATGAGCTCTGGTTCCCAGGAGGCAGAGAGCAGAGTGGGCGGACCAGGAAGGGCTGCAGCTGACGGCAAGCGGGATCTGAAAGGGAAGGAGGGCACAGCCACAGCAGGCAGAGCCACAGAAGCTGCAGCTGAAGTTTGCAGGAGTGGGAGGGGAGGCTGGGCCTTGAATGTCTGCCAAGCTCAGCCAGAGGCAGGGTGGACCTTCAGGGCCTTGCCAGGACTGGGACAGAGGAGGGGACAGTGACCAGTGCCGGTTCCACAGACACCTGCTATGTGCTGTCCTTCTCCATCATCATGCTCAACACCGGCCTACACAACCCCAACGTCCGGGACAGACCGCCCTTCGAGCGCTTTGTGTCCATGAATCGCGGCATCAACGATGGCAGTGACTTGCCCGAGGAGCAGCTGAGGGTGAGAACGCTAAATCTCATTGGTCCTCTGGGAGTCCCATCCCAGGCTAGTTGTGAGGTGGGCCTCATCTCAACAAGGATGACTGAGGGTGGACCCCAGAAGTCCTTCAGAATTAGACTTTGGGAAACCTGGCCAGCCGTTATTCACACTTCTCCCAAATAATACCTCAGACTGGGATTGTGGGTCAAAGGCATCCGCAGGCCATAGGATCCATCCTGAGCCCGCCAATAAAAGGCGGCAGTGCTTCCTAAGCTCAGAACCCCAGCTTCTCTGCAAGTCAGGCGGAAAAGATGCTTGACTGGGGTCCTCAGAGGGAGAAAGACGGTCTCCCACAAGTCCCCACTAGCTCTACAGCAAAACTAGTCCCAAGCCACTTGTCCCCTTATCCCAACACCCCATCCCCACTGCACTGCACCAAACCCTGTCCTGGGTACAGGGACCCAGGAATGACTCCATGCCGGTCTGCCTAGACCAAATCCAAGCTCTGGTGGGAAGGGATCTACACATGAATTACACCCACACTCAACACCCAAAGCTCACTGATGTCACCCATGCTGACTGTGGGAGCTTTACTACAGAGAGATGTGCTGCTGCCATCTTGGGGGACAGGCAAAGGAGTCATCCCAGAAGCCTGGCCGGGGCAGGTGACTTCCGTACTGGGCTTCGACAGCTAGATAAGATTTGCCTCAGGGTTTCCATTGCTGCCAACTGAACACCAAGACCAAAAAGCAAGGTTGTTTTTTTTGGGGGGGGGTTATTTGGCTTACACTTCCACATTGCTGTTCATCACCAAAGAAAGTCAGGATAGGAACTCAAACAGGGCAGCATTCTGGAAAGAGAAAGCTGGGAAGGAGTTAGTATCCAGTGTGATGCCCTGAGATGGGGTAGATATGAGCAGGGTGTCTGAGTGCTGAAGGCCAGCCTCGGGAGCACACAGAATCAGATGGTTGCAAACAGTGGGTGCTTGGCCTGGTGAGCAACAGTCATACGGTTCAACGATGAAAGACACTCTGATCTCGCTAGGATCAAAGTCATCAGAGAGGTGAGCAAGGACATGGACTCCAGATCAGAGTCTGGCCTCTCAGAGTTGAGCACTGCATCCCGTTAGCCCACAGAACATAGGTCCAGCTGGAGCCACTCTATCTGTAAGGAAGGCTCCAGAGCCACCCAGAGCTCCAGTCAGCCCCTTCTCCCTTATGCACCTGCTGGGTGGCCTTGGATGGCTCCTTGGGGTTCAGTCCACCACTCCCTCCTAGACTGGGGGTGATCAGCCTGAATTACAGTGGCTGTGAGTAGTCATTTTTTTTAACATTAAGGGCATGACCTGCCCTGCTCATAACTCAGGCTTAAAGGCAGCTCATGTCATCAGAAAGAATAATTAAGAATGTGCTGGGGATGTGTCTCTGTTGGTAGAGTGCTTGTCAAGCATGCACAAGGCACTGGGTTCAATCTCCAGTGTAAACCAGGCATTGTAGCACACACCTATAATCCCAGCCCTCAGAAAGTGGAGGCAGAACGATCAGGAGTCCAAAGGCATCACTGGCTACATAGCAAGTTTGAGGCTAGCCTGGGCTACAGAAGATGACATCTCAAAACAAACAAGTAAAAAAGAAGCCCAGACAACCAACCTTCAGAGCAGGCTGGAGCATACGGGCATTAGAGGCTTCACACTTGTGGGTGGAACCCTCATGCCTCCCACAGGGGTCCTGAATGTGCGAGGCCTCCCCATGACCAGCCATTCCTGCCTTCCACCCAGAGAGCCTTCCTCTGCACCGTCCTCTGCTCATGCTCCCAAGCTGGCACATTTTTGCAGGTGACTTGTCATCTTCATGTAGCTTCCACCCTGTCAAGGAGGCCTGGGAGGGGTCGGGCACCCTGGTCAACAGCATGGAGCCAGGCAGAGCAGAGCTATGCAGAGCCTCAAGCAGCTGGCTGCCTGTCTTTCAGCCTACAGGGGGACCCCTCCAGCAGGAGTTAGTAGAGCTCATAAGCTGGTAGATGCAATTCTTCCCCAGCTGTGTTACACAGTGCCCAGGCCTACTCTGAGAGCCATCCCAAGTTTTCACAGGCAGCCACGTGGACCCAGGATCTTCTCACCTACTCCCTGACTTCATCTTAATATTTTTAAAGCCAGAATCCAGTGTCACATTATCTCTTTGCGCAAGTGAGTTCTCCATGAACTACTGTTGCTCAGCTACCTAGGAAGCCCCCAAAGGCGTTACAGGACACCATGAGACAGAAGTAAATTTACACAGACTGATACCCCAAGACAGGTCACCCCAAGGCCACACAGCCCTGGATGGCAAGCTTGTAGGAAAGACTACGAGAAATGTATTATGGCTATAGGAGACAGGCAGACCAGGACACAGTACTTAAAAGATTCTAGGTTCAGAGTTAGGAGCTGGGCACAGGGGCCGGGGATGAATTCCAACTCCTTGGTGGGCCATTCTGGGACGCCCTGTCAGAGCAGGCAGTGTCCTAGGCATGCTGTCATTGTATGGCCCCTGTTCCCAGGATCTAACTAAGGTCACAGGGTTCCACTGGAGGAAGCGAACCTGAAGCCTCATGTTTGTAATGAGAGTCCTAGCTTGAGCTCCTTCTGATTCTGGAGCTCCACCCTCTGCAGAGATTAGAAGGTGTGATCTTGAGGACAGAGAGGCCCCAAGCATGCCACCACCCCATCACAGATGAGGAACTGGATCCAGAAGGCATATCCACTGAGGTTTCCAGGCTCTTGTGTCCTAGAGAAAAGAACTAGGCCAGGGACACATGGATAGTGATAGAAATAGAGTTTAAGGAAGAAAAAAAACATTTCTGAGAATGGAGGTGGGACAGGACTGAAGAGTCAAGGGCTGCAGGGGACCAGTCCTTTGGTATCCCTCACACCTTCTCCAGCATTTGGAGATGAGGGTTCTTCTCCTATGTGTTCTGTCCTTTAGTGTTGCCACAGTACACGTGTGAAGGTAAAAGGACAACTTGCAAGAGTTGGTTCTCTCCCTCTATAGAATCAAACTCAAGTCATTAGGCTTGGCAGCACCTAGATGGTCCTTCATATGTAAATTTTAATGTCTCTTTCTTTATGCCTTTCTGTCCTGCCACACTGGCTGGGAGAATCACAACTCATATCACTGAAAAGGACAGAGATCCCTTCCCCTTCAGACTGTTGGCTTTGGGTGTGGCTATATTTGGGTGTGGCTTCGTTGGTGGCCTGAGGGGGCTACATGTCATGGCAAGCCCACCCTAAACACTAGCTATCTCTTAGACTCTGGCTATTGTAAAGATGCCCAAATAGGTCCAGGCTGCCAGCTTCTCCCCTCAAAACTGAACCCCTGGAATTAAGTCCTATTGACTGGTTGGGGCCATGTGTCTCTATTTAAACCAGTCCCTATAGCACATAGGATGCAAGGCTCTCAACAGTCAAAGGGAAATGAGTCACTGTCCCTTCCTGGAATCTGGGATGGAGGAGGGTGCCCACCTCACAGAACAGCCAAGACAGAAAAGAGAGGAGAGGGCTCCAGAGCCCCAAGGAAAGACAGGACATGTTGTACACCCAGGGTCCTGAGAGGTCTCTATGCGGTGGCTTCTTCAGTGACAGAGACTTCAGGGTGTTTTCAAGACACAGGAAGTGTGGGTGAGCTGCTTTTTCTGTGAGGCAGAATACACACAATGATACTGTGACCACAGAAACTTCCAGGTACTCCTGTGGGTTTAGCAGAGGCTGAGGCCCTGGCTGCCACCCCTGAAGCCTCCTCGGGCCTCCCTAAGTCTTGTCTGAGATGATAGCTCAGCTACTGCTAGGGTCTTCCTGTCTCAGACACTTATTCCACCAGCCAGGCCACCTGGGGATTCCCAAGGTAAAGCCTGCCACCCCCACATCCATGCACTCCACCTCCACCCCAGCCAAAAAGAAGCTGGCCCCCACTTTTCTCTCACCCTCACACCACAGTGAGGTTGAGAGGGACATTGAAGGTTTGGCTGGAGGGTGCTCCAGCCCCACCTCCACAGACTCAGGAAAACCAACTTTAGGCCTGCACCCCATGGGAACCCCTGGACAAAGAACAGGATGGCAGTAAATAGGGGGGGTCAGGCATCCATTCATCTACTCAACCCATCCATCTGCATATACCCACCCACCCACCCATATACACACAAAGGTGTGAAATCTGCCATTACAATACTAGAAAACATCACTGCAAAGCCAGATGTACTGATGTACTGATATCTGCCATTACAATACTAGAAAACATCACTGCAAAGCCAGATGTACTGATAGGTAACAGGTGTATGCTGCCTTCCGGCTTTAACAAGCGGGAATGAGTTAGAATCCCAGTGCTGGGGGAGCCCAGTGCCCCAAGAAGATTCAAAACACTCTGGGGGGTTCTATGTCCATACCTTGCCCTAGAGTATCTCAGCCCTGGCTTGCGTACCTTCCATCCCTCTAGTCATTAAGCACCTTTTTACCAAAAAGTCATCCATGGAGGACTGAAGTCAGCTCTGGGAGCCCTCTACATCCCAATCCCTGTAATCAGAGCCCATCCTGCATAGACATTGGTCAGAGCCCCGCTGGGGACCTCTCCACCTGCTGTGGCTCTGAGCCTGAAGCAGTCAATTCCTTCCTCCCCAGGGCCTCCTCTATCCCCACCCCAGCTTGCTATCTAGAAGGTTCTACTGTCCACCTAAGTGGAAGAGGGGCATCTTCCATCGTGAGCACTGCCTGAAGCAGTAGGGACTCCAGCCCCTGTGTCTATGTGCCCACCTAAGGCACCCACCCTGCTCACTCTGCCCTGAGGCAACACAGGGGAAGGAACTCTGGGGTATGGGTTTGGCCAGTGCAAAGGAGAACACCAGTCACCTAAGGGGACAGGACCTGACCAAGGCCACCTAGGCCAGGTGGTCCAGGCCCCAAATTCAGTGGACTAAACCCATCTTTTCCATCCTCTTTTGGACAGAACCTCTTTGACAGCATCAAAAGTGAACCATTCTCCATCCCCGAGGATGATGGTGGTGACCTCACCCATACCTTCTTCAACCCTGACCGTGAAGGCTGGCTACTCAAGCTGGGTAAGACCTCTGTGTACACACTCTGACAAGCTCACTTGCACACATGTGGTTCACACACACACACACACACACACACACACACACACACACACACCTCAGAGTGGACCTGCACAGCATTGGGTCACCTGACCCCTGGGCCAGCAGTCTGCTTACCCTTTCTATCCTTCTTCTCACTCACCCTCCCAGCCATCCTCTACCCACCCACTGCCCTACCTATCCATTCACCTGACAAAGCTTTCATCTCCCTAGCCACTCATCTGGCCACCACCCACCTCATCGTCTCTCCATTTATCCATCCATCCATTCATCTATCCACCCCGCACTCCTCTCATTCATCCATGCACCCATTCACCTGCCCACCCATCTATCCACACACTCTATTTACCCATCCATCCTCCCATCTGCCCATCATCCACTCACCCCTCTATCCATCCAACAACCCATCCATCCACCCATACATACATGAAAACACCTACCCTTCTACCCATCCATCTGTCTTGGGGCTACAGGTGGCAGGGGAGGCTAGATGTAAGGGGGCCGGGGGAGACAGAGGCTCCATGGACCGTTCTGTTTGTCTCCCAGAGGGATGTAGAAAAGAGGCTAGCAGAGTCCCTCTGTTCAGGACTACTGAACATGAGGTGCTAGTCCTTGAACAGCCCAACCTTTGGCTGGCTATTTTCAGGAAGCCAAGACTCAATAAGGTTAGGGCAACTTTTCAAGGCCACACAGCCAGCAAGTGTCATATTTAGGGCATCAGAGGGCTGGATGTCTCTGAAGCAGGAAGAGGGAGAGAGGGGATGTAGCTCAGACAAAGAGCCATGGGGAGTGTGGTGGTGGGTGCTCCAGTGGTTGAGGGAAGCAGCCAGCCCTGCCTCCTCCAAAGAACACTCCCCGGAACCTCCCAGCAGAACCAGCCAGCCAGGGACTGTGATCTTCCAAAGTAGGTGAGGAGGAAATACCTCATCTTGGAGGAAGGACCTCAGCTAGGCAGCCTCCATCACTTACTGTGTAAGGAGACTATGGCAGACTGACCTGTATCCTAGATGGCCACCAAGCCTCTGTCACCACACTGCAGCCTCTCCTCCTACAGACCTCTGGGCGTCCCATGCTGCCCCAGACACCAGCTCCCAGCCCCCAGAGTATCTCCAAGTCACCAACCCAGACAGAAGAGGAGCATCAGAGCCTCATGGGGGAGCTCACAACCACCCTTCAGCATCAGTTTCTGCAGTTGAACTGTGGCGACACTGACCCAGAGGGTACTAGCCACACAGCAACATGGCTGGGAGCTTGGGCTCCAGGGCAACAACACTGGAGTTTGAACGCACAGGGCCATGGACACATGGCCTAGCTTTGATTTGCCCAGCCTTGATTTCCTCATCTATAAAAATGGGGTCACCAGTGGCCCTCCTCCTGGATGGCCACAGGGATTCTCTTCCTTGTTTTTGTCCCCAGGCCTGATAAATCAAAGCTGTATTAGCAACTGTTCTCAATGTTGCAACAAAATAGCCAACAAAAGCAAGTTCAGGAAGGGAAGGTGTGTTTGGCTCTAAGAGTAGTGCTCCTTGTGGCAGGGGCTGGGGGTGGCTGGTCACTTGGTATCCACAATCAAGAAGCAGAGAGAGAACAATGAAGGCTGCTGCTCAGTTCGCTTTCTCCTTTTTTAGTCTGGAACTCCAGCCTCTGGGATGGGGGCTGCCCACATCAGTTGACTCAATCTAGAAACTTCCAGACATGCCCCTGTCAATTTGGCAGTTAATACTAACCAATAAATACATAAAGCAAGCATGGGTCTGAGTGGGCTCAGATGGGGTCAGGTGGCAGTGGCCTGGAAGAGCAGGAAACAGTGTCACTGTCCCCTCTTACCTAATCTCTGGGAACCCAAATGCAAGGGTATTGCATTTGGTAATGGGGTAATGGGAGCTGCTAACTTGGAGTATAGAGAGGATGGATCTGGAGGCTTGAGGAACAGGGGATGCATGCAAGGCTCTGTGGCTCGCTGATGGGGGAACATGGTGACCCAAGAGGAGGAAGGCTGACCTGCCATGCTGCCGGCTTCTTTCAGGGGGCCGCGTGAAGACATGGAAGCGACGCTGGTTCATCCTCACAGACAACTGCCTCTACTACTTTGAGTTCACCACTGTGAGTATGTGGGGATGATGGAATGGAACACAGCCAGCCACAACCAACCCCTCCAGCTGCTGCCACCACCTGAGAGTGTCCTGCCCTTTCAGAGTGCTCAGCTCCCCCCCCACTCCCATTTCACAGATGAGAAGATCTGGGGGGGGCAAAGAGGAGGGGCTGGGCAAGGGGGAGCACTGATTTAAAGTTGGATTTCCTGGGCTGGGGCTCTAGATCAGTGTTAGTTAGAGTGGGGGCCTAACAGGTGTGAGGCCCTGGTAGATTCCCAGAGCTGAAAAAACAAATCACTGTTCAAAGATGGCTGGGTCACCTAAAGGCTAAGCATGGGGCTCATACCCATAGTCCCAGCACTGAGAAGGCAGAGGTAGGAGAGTCCTAACATGTTTAAGGCCAACCTGAGCTATACAAGATCCTTCTTCAGAAAATAGATAGATAGATAGATAGATAGATAGATAGATAGATAGATAGA